CAAAGAATGAGGTCAGCTGACTACCTGAATATACTGAATGACCAGGTTATTCCATCAATGGATTTTTTCTTCCCTATTGGCACGGGCATATTCCAAGATGACAATGCCAGGATTCATCGGGCTCAAATTGTGAAAGACTGGTTCAGGGAGCTTGAGACATCATTTTCACACATGGATTGGCCACCACAGAGTCCAGACCTTAACCCCATCCAGACCTTAACCTCAGACTCTACCACCATCAATGCAAGATCTTGGTGAAAAATTAATGCAACACTGGATGGAAATAAATCTTGTGACATTGCAGAAGCTTATCGAAACAATGCCACAGCGAATGCATGCTGTAATCAAAGCTAAAGGTGGTCCAACGAAATATTAGAGTGTATGACCCTTTTTTTTGGTGGCGACTTTTTTTTTGGCCAGGCAGTGTATGTCACACATGACATGCCGGTATCTTAGATGTATCAACCGTACGTACTGTACATGATTGTTTTGTTTTTTAAAATGTATTGCCCTCTATGTATGTGTGGCGAAATGTCTTAGATATACTTTCTCGTGAGCACGAGATACGCCCCACCCCCCCATTGTCCCTTTAGGGGCTTCGTATTTATGGTATTATGTTATTAAAATTTAGTTATTCTGTTGTGTTTTTAATTATTTTTTATTTTTTTGGTTTAGGGAAGTTTGTATCCAGCAAGACAGGCGGGTTCATCTCACAGTTGTTTACTTTGGCCGGGATCTGATCAACCAGGTGAAAACTGTTCTGGACCAGATCACCAGGTAGGAAGGTTAATATGCAGGTTTAGAAGAAAGAAAATTCCACAAGAGTTGACAAAAGAGAACAACAACTGAACACTGAACTCTAAATCCTAAAGACTGCAGCTTTAATTTGGATAAAAACAAAACAAACAATAACAGTTTCTCACCCAAATCAAAGTCATGTGATGTTGTCCTGAGCCAACTACAGCCTCACATCCAGGTTGTGTGGTCCAGATGAAGGTCGACACGGCTGTCATTAGGGACCACATCTGTACGTTCTCTGAAGATGAATCAAATTTCCCATCAAAATATGTGACGATACATCTTAATTGTCTTCCTCCCTCCAGAGAGACTCGATTCAGGAGCTTCACACTGATCCAGATGAACGAGGAGTTTTCTCGGGGTCGAGGGTTAGAAGTGGGAGCCAGAGCATGGAGGCACCATCAGAACGTCCTGCTGTTCTTTTGTGATGTTGACATCCACTTCACAGCTGACTTCTTAACTTCCTGTCGTCTCAATGCGGAGCCTGGTGAGTTACTCACCAAACTGTCATTAAAAGCTTTCATCTCTGGTTGCTTACATGTGATGTACAGAATGTAGACCACACTCAACTTGATGTCTTCTGACCGTATGTCAATTATCAAGGTTCAGGTGGAGAGTGAGCACAGAGGAAGCATTTTATAAAGTAGTGGACCTTGCATTACTGTATATATCACCTCAGCCTCACACTGTCTGGACAAATAATAAATGTGAAATCAGTCTGTTCTCGTTCTTCCAGGTCATGTTATCCAAAGAGTTTAGTTGTAAGCAACTGGATTTTGTCTTGGAGTTTGAAAGAATTTTCGTTTCTCAGAAGTCCAGTTGTTCATAACTAAACTCTTTGTAGATGTAAAATCAGTTTAATTTCATTCCAACACATGCTGCAGGTCATTTCAAATTATTCCAGGATCCAAGACATAGTAAATACACAGGACCACGAAAGGCTGCACATCCAAGAAAGTCATCTAACCATGGTTGGGTGCAGTCTTAAAGCAGTACTGAGCAAAATGTCACAATGTTAGCGCAACAGAAACACAACCTGTCAGCCAGAGATATGTGTGAATCCCACTCCACTATAGCCATATACCAGGACATGATTTGATTGTTTTCCACATTATTGTTGTCAGAATAGGCCACTAAAGATTCAGGAATGTTTTTCTGCTCCACATGTAGGCCATGTTAAAAAATACAGTGTGTCCTTTCCTTTACATGGAATGTGCTCACTCCAAAAATACCCCTGAGGTTAAAAAATGTAAAACACGACTAGTGCTGTATTTCCATTTATGGACAAAGGGAGGTGTGTAATTAAATCAGCCAATGGTTGGGTTTTTCATCCGCAGGTAAGAAAGTGTACTACCCTGTGCTGTTCAGCCAGTACAAACCAGCCATTATCTACAGTAACCAGACACACATCCCCTCCATTCAACAGCAGCTGGTGGGTGTCTATATAATTATAATAAACACACATCTAAATTAACTGCACTGTGTTCAACAAATAGACATTTTGCTGCTTTTTTTAGGTGATAAGGAAGGAAACTGGTTTCTGGAGAGACTTTGGCTTCGGAATGACATGTCAGTACCGGTCCGATTTCATCAACATTGGTAATTCAATAACTCATTAATTCCCCAAATCTACAATGTTGTGATTCTAAATGTGGGGGGCAGAGGCCCCTAAGGGTGAAGGGCTATGTTGAAAAAATACATCAATGACAGAGGCAATGTCTCTGCCACGAGGGGCTGGTATGGTGCAGTGTGATTTGGTCATGGAGACTGCTGGGCACGCGACCCCGTAACGGATAAGTGGATGAAAATGGATGCATGGATGGATGGAGAATAGAGGTGATACTGCCTAAAAGGGGGTGTTGCTGAGGAAAAGGTTAGGGAACAACTGCTTTAATGTAACATGCAATCACATGTTCTTAATAACTGTTTAAATGCAATAAAGCAAAGGACTTATTTTTGTATTTACTTATAGGAACAGTATATTTAAAAATGTTTTTTTTGTGCCTGATGTATTTTCATTACACATCATTCCATATTCTGGCAGGTGGTTTTGATCGTAACATCAAAGGTTGGGGGATGGAGGACGTGCAGCTGTACAGGAAGTACATGCACAGTAAAATCATGGTGATTCGCTCCCCGTCTCGTGGCCTTTTCCACTTATGGCATGAAAAGGCGTGTGCAGATGAGCTTCCTCCAGACAAGTACAAGATGTGCATGCAGACAAAGGCCATGAGCGAGGCCTCACATGGACAGCTGGGGGAGCTTTTCTTTCAACAGGAGATTGCGGCTCATTTGAAGAAGCAGGAAATTAACAGCAGAATGTGAAGAAGGATCAGGACCAAAACAGACTAACATATATTCATGGTGATCCAACTTCCTTTAAGCTGAAGGTCTGGAAGGCCAATTATGTCAGTGTTATTGTCATATCAACTGAATTGACTTATCCATAAAGACCACAAAGGCTGCAGCTAGTGTATGCTGGAATACTGTAAAAGAGTACTTTAGTCTGATTTTCATGTTTAGTCACTACTTAAGTAACCTGAAATGATTTTTGTCTGTTGTCACTCAAAACAGAATTAAATATTAAATGTAAACTGCCAATATGGTTGATCTACTTGATGTTATTTAAAAGTGAGTTAAACGTTTGGTTGGTATTTTATTATGGTTTGTTGTATTATATATTTATTATGTAGTTAAAATCTTGTGATGATTAAAGTTGATGTAACTTGAAATGGAAATTTAGAAATAAAAATTGAAAGACACAATGTACTTGACCAATCTTTCAAGGAAGGCAACCTGCTCGTTACCCGCTCCGGTCACAAGGTGGCGCATAAAGTATGAAAACTCCTATGGGAAATAACATAATTATTTTTTTTTTATTATTCAAAAACTAAAAAAAAACAAAAACAAAAAAACATTTTTATCTGTATTTAATTCTTAAGATAAATACAAGGTTAAATACGTGACAACATGATTCAGGTCCAATAGAAAAAACCTTTGTAAAGAAATGCAAATGTTAGGGTGACAAAAAAAGTGTGAAGAGCGGGTAAGGACGTATTTGTGCCTCACAAGCTTAAGCAACAACAGTCTGTGGTGATCTACCATTATCATGCAGCTTTGTGGAGTTCTGGTCCTTTTTATCACCATGACTACGGGTAAGAACGGCCTGAATGAGTGAGTGAGTGAGTTTTGAATATTTTAATTTTTTTCTAACTAAATACTAAACTTACATCTAAATGTGTTTATGAAAATTCAAGAACATGAGAAAATTGAACGATAAATTCAGGAAATTGCAGTGACTGATCTGTCACCGTGACTGTCTCTAAAAGCCCAAGAAAATAATTATGTTTAAAATATATTTTCAATAATCTATGAGAAGTGAATAGAATACATTTTTTCTCAACCTTAAAGTAAAATCAAAACAGCTTAACATTATTCTCCACCCGCTTGCCTGAGAGACCTTGTTTTCATGCTTTTAATCTAAAACTTTCTTTTCATAGCCACACACATAAAAAAAAGTTCATTTTATTTTTATTATGTTAAATGTTTTACTTTGGTGATGATCCCATAATGTCTTACAGGATATGATGTGGTCACCAAGGGGTGTCTATCTATCTATCATCTAATAACAGGAATAAAATAAAAGAAGTTCCAGAGTTGTGTGCGTTTTGGTTAAGTTTCATTTCTTCCTGTGTGAAACAAAATGAAAACTTAAACTTATCCGGTTTGGATTCTTTGACCTTTCTTTTCGCACAGTCTGTGGATTACGATGCTACACGTGCACAGCCACCGACCCAAGATCCTGCATCGACGCAAAATCATGTGCTGTCATCTTTAACCGCTGCTTCTCCATAAGGGTTGAAGGTAAATTGTTATTTGGCTTACTGGTGGTAGTTCATGTTATTTTTATTATTTTTTTACTCTGGTGATGATCCCATAATGTCTTACAGGATATGATTTGGTCACCAAGGGGTGTCAGACCAGTGCATTATGTGTAGCCCCAATAGACTGCTGCGAAGGCGACTTGTGTAACAACACTGTCCTCACTGGTCCCAGTTTCATTGTCTTACTGGTGTCCTTGGCAGTGGTCACACAGTTCATCTAAGAGACATATGGAGCTAAAAGTGGTTTGTTCATTTCAGTGCTATACTTTTGATTGTACTTTACCAATAAACATTTTACTAACCTATTGGTCGAATGTTTTTGCCTTTCACTTCATGTAAGAATGTGTATATTGTCCTAACAAATATAGTAAGAACATAACATGTAACCTGACAAAGTACTAAATTTAATCTTTAAAACTACTCTCGTAAGTTTGGTGTTTTGTAACTGAAAAAATGTAAAGGACTACTAGAATACCAAATAGCGGCATTTGTGTCGTCATTATTTGTCAAATGGTTTTCATAATACTTTTATAATAATTTACAAATATAAATAATGATAGAGGCGTGATCACAGAGGTGTAAAAATTCCAAATAAATACAGCTTTTTGACTTTACTGGACTATCATCTACGATACTTAAGAACACGCTTTTCCTCTCTTCCTCTCTTTTTTAGACTTGATTGTCCAGAATTACTATTTAATCACCTCTATCTTACATCACGGCTACTTGATTATCGGGAAACACAAAAAGGCTGTTCAGTTGTAATTTTCCTGTTTTGTCTAGGTCTTCTAATAATCAAATAATAATCTAATGCAAATGGGAGTCATTTGTTTAACAAATAACATGAACTACCGAAGACGTCATTCAGTCTACAGAACAAAAATAACTACAGCCTAACACATAAAATCTAGGAGCATGACTTTTTTAACTGACTAAACGTACAAAGGTTACAGTTAAAGTGGTCGCATTCACGTGTGAAAAACATTTATTGTAGGACTATTTCTTCAACTCTATGTGTAGTCTTGTATGCCGGCGGTGTGGTTGGTGATTACCGGCACTAAGTGAACAACATGTCAACAATAAACAACAATTAGATTTAGAACAGTTGCCTATTTGAGATTACATTTTCACTATACACAGAACCGTGTGTGCAATTCAAAAGTCTGTATATAATGAAGTATTTGAATATACGTTTGTGGTACACAAAAATCACGTATTTAAAAGTGATCTATACTTTCATAACCTACTTTCCTACAATCCATCATTAACTTCAGAAGAAGAAGAAGAAGAAGAAGAAGGAGCAAGAAGAGAATGAGAGGGGGAAGGAGTGGGTCTGTATCGTCTGACGACTGTCGTAACCTCACGCAACTACACGATAGGTTCCTACGCTAATAAGCCATGTCCATTCAGATAGACCATCAGTTAGCTATAAGACAAAAACACGAACCAAGATTACAGTGGTTAACCAATTGTGAGTAGTGTTTGAACAATTTAGATCCACTGTATTGCCTCAAATAATGTCAATTATATTATGTAAAATTATTTTTAAAAACTAGATATTTCTTACATTTGACATCTGTTTTGCTGGAACCGAGAGGGGCCATTTTCTGTCAGTTTTCGAAAAAACTCTCTTTACGAATAGTAGAAATGAAAACAGACCCAGGAAGTAGCATACTTGTTGATATTATCTTACTTTATATTGAACATGTCTTTTAGCAAATTTGTCCTACGTTTTAATTAAGCGTAATGCTAACTATAACATGTTTATAATGACATAATTAGCCATATGTTCTTTCACTTTTAACAAGTCAATTTAAGGATATTGCTTTTTTCCGAGCTGTATTTGAAAGCACCGTTAATCGCGACGGTACAGTCAGCATACCTCAGCAGAGTCAGCAGCGATGGCTTATTCCAGAACAGGACAGTGTTAGAGAGACAGGAGGTCACACACAGTCTAATGATGTTTTGTAAGGAGTTAAACTGGTGAGAGGTTGTTCCCCTGGTCTGGTGGTAGATTAGAATTAGTGTTTAGTCAGTGTTTTCTCACTTAGAGTAAAAGTGACCAACTTTTAAACCACCCTGTGTAGTTTTAGCTGCTCAGACACTTGGTGGCGGGACAATGACTCTGCTGTGTTTTAATTCTCTACCGGAATAGTGAGAGAGTTGCGGCAGAAAGGCTCGCCTCGCCTAAAAGCAGCCGCTTGCCGCTGATTTGCAGCTCGGACCATCGCGACAACCGGGACAGGATAATTTTCTCAAATACGGAGACCACAAAAAGCAGGAGATTCAACATGTTTGAAGCCTGGGGGCTTCCTCTCATCCTGCAGGACATCCTCTGCCTCATCCTCGGTATGTTAATCTAATCCATACTGCTTAATCCCTTTCTTTCAGACAAGTGGCACATCTGAGACTGAGCCCCGTTGAATAGGTTTCATTTGTATAATAAACTTATATGGGTGTTGTTTATTGCTAAGCTAGACATTGAAATATGACTAATAAATCACACATGTCGAACTTTGAGTTGCTCCCATGAGCTATGCAGCTGCCAGTACGTCACTGTTTTACAAGTGATGTTTTTAAAAACCCACTGAGTGAAATATAGACCTGTACCTCTCTGTAACTGGTATTTAAGTGTAGTGGAATTTCACCTATTCTGAACATTACCTGTAGGTCTAACTGCAATCCAACATACATCTCCGTAAACCACTTTAGGTTACCACCCAGAAAAAAAACAACAAAACAAAATACTGAGACAACATTCCATGTGCAAATTAAGCACATAACCTTAAAACTTTATTTTGTGAGGTTATAATTATTCCATAGAAGTTGTTTTTTTAAAACACACAAAGCCTGTAGATAAAATAAATCAGACAGGAAGTGGAAGATTGAAAACATGCCGCAAAGTCTTTGCCTGTTTTTCTTCTAAGCAAAGTTATATTTTATTCAAAGAAAACTTTTAAACAAATCTCTGCACCACAGACATAGCTGAGCTCTGATTGGTTACTGTAGACCAGGATTCTGCTCTTGTTTAGAAACCTCTGGCCACAGTGTAATCTCTGTCTATATTATATGTGTCAAACTCAAGGCCCGGGGGCCAAATGCGGCCCACCAAGCCGTCTTATGTGGCCCGCAGGAGCTTAAAAAGCATTTAGTTAAGTCCTTGCAGCAGAGTTCCTTAACCTTAACTTTTTTTATTACACAGCAATGGACGATATCTGTAGGTTGAATAAATAATAATCAATTGCAGACACATGTATTAGTCTGTGTCCCACTGCGGCCCGGTACCAAATGACCTATGGACTGGTACTGTTCTGCGGACTGAGGGTTGATGACCCCCGATCTATACAGTCTTCCATTTACAACCGGCCCTTCAAGCAGATCTGTATTGCTGATGTGGCCCCTGGTAAAAATGAGTTTGACACCCCTGGTCTATATAGTCTGTCCTGTGAGCACTGTGCAGCTGCTATCACGTGATTCAATTAGAAGAGTGAGTACTTTTTGAGATTGAGAGTGACTGTTTGTGTGTGTCTGATGAAGATCCTGCTGTGACTACAAACATCTGGAAGCAAATAGTCCATTAACTCTAGCTGTATACTTTCAAATACAGCGTGATTAAAAGAAAAGTAAATATACGTTATACAGAAAGAATCACCAGATGTATTGCTTGTTCTACAATAGCAATTGCTATTATTTCTTTAACACAATGTGACACAATAAAATAAAACACAAATAAAATAGTTGGTTAAAGTTAATGCTCTGAGACAAACTGACAAATTTCTAAACAAGTAAAAAATTGTTTTTCTACATATTTTCAACTTAAGTCGATGGAGTTCTGTAAGTTGTACATCTATCTGAAAATTCCATCTTAATTAAAATTCTTCGGGATGTTTTTCCCACTAGGTCATACTCTACTGGTTAGCCTCGTCTCATGACAGAAATCAAATGTCTTTTAAATGTTTTTGTCCAATTTTTTTTTTACTATTTTGAGACAGCACAGTGACGTCATCATTCTTCCATTGACCCTATTTTTACTGAAAGTTTCCCAGTACCCTTCAGTGAGATTTAACTTAACAACAGTCAGTGATCAGGCTGTAACTCATGTCGCCCCTGAACAGCAGCTTCACAACGTCTGAGGAATGCTCTGATATGATGTCTTTCCATCAGTTTAGCAAAGAAGAACATTCACAGATTGAATCAAACTGTGCATTAAATAAAAATCTGGTACAGAATTATGTACCAATATTTACTCTGTAAGATTAAATTGACACACAGTGTTGGGCTGACTTCTTCCGCAACATTACTGTGGAGTAATACAAGGCTTGGAGCGTTCAAATGAGGTGTTGTGTAACTCTTTGAATAGGATGAAATTTACCTCTGCTAACTGAAATCAACAAAAGCCACTTATGAAACACTGTCAAATGGGGAGTGTCTGTTTTCTGATGCGTCTGAAGCTTAACATCACACAAATGGTGAAAGACTTATTCTTGATGAATCAATGTTTGAAGAACACCAAAAACGGTTTGGAGCTGTAGTACTGTCCATTTCCATGATGTGATAATGCAGACAAGCTGAAATCTGTCACTCAGGTGAAAATAACTCGGGTTTTTTATTTTCTACTAACAGTTGGACTTCCCTTCTTCATCCTCACCCCTCAACATAACCCCTTTAAACGGGGTTTCTTCTGCAACGATGATTCCATCAGATACCCGCTCAAGGACGATACCATATCCTACCAGCTGCTGGGCGGAGTCATGATCCCATTCTCCCTGATTGTGGCAAGTTGGCAACCTTTGATGCATGATTCTAAGTGGGTCAGCAGCAGCTGGACTATCATCTAGACAAGTGGTGCCCAATGAAAGGATTGCAATCTGCCAGTAGATCGCAAAGCTGATGCTGGTAGATCATGGAAAGTTAAAATAATAATAAAACAAAGCTATAAGTAAAATTCTATAGTGTGTTGTACTGACCATATACTGTAATAATATATAATGTATATTCAAAGTTTATATGAGTCAATTTACATATTAACATTTTCAATGTAGGTCGATGACTTTAGCCTGGTCTTTTGCATAGTAGTTCCCAAGCCAAAAAAGTGTGCACACCCCGATCTAGACAAAGTCATCTTCAGTGCCAAAACGACATGTCATCATCAATCACTATGCTTATGTTGTTACT